GCCACAAAAACCTTCCAAACGCCACAAAACACACCACAAGCCTCACCACACGTCTCCTTGCTACCGCAATCTCGCCCACAGGAAGCCGCGACGTGGCAGCAGGGAAAATGGCCGCGGATCCGGTTCGTAAGTAGAGGTAATTTTTTGGGGCCGGAGCTGGTCATATCTCGAAAAATTCGTAAGTAGGGGCGTTTGTAAGTAGAGGTACCACTGTATTCTAATAAATTGTACAAATTAAGCTGGTTTATGCATATTTAAAAATAATCTGAATAATTTATCTGAATGAGTCTAAAATATTTTCACAAGTGGCACCTAGAATACATTTTAGACAATTCTTCCTCTTTCTAAATGTTGGAAATCTGTTGGAGGAGAAGTATTTATTATGTCAAACATACATGCTGATCATTTCAATTGACTCTGCAGAATGCTCACATATCACTAGTGTACTGAGTAGAAAATTAGTTTTTGAAAAAAAAAACCCTGTATGTTTAAATACTTATTATGTAGTTATACCAATTGTTTAACTAAGTGGATAGCAACAATATTGAAGAACAGCAGTAGAAGAAAGCCAGGAAAAAAGACAAAAATTAAGCATAGCTTGGAAAAAACAGAGGAGTCAAGATAAGTCAAACTGCAAACCCATTAAAACTAAGATGCAAGCATTCCAAGACTTGTGCAGACAACTTCACTGTGAAAAAAAAATGCTGTTGCATTTCTCAAGGTTTACATACAGACCAAAACAAAAAACTAAGCATTAGTAATTTTACAAATATGAAATATCTCACCAAGCAACACTTAGCTTATGTGCAAGTTCTACTTTTCAGAAAAAGAGTCTGAAAATTGGCATCTAGAAGTCCAAGGGGACTGTATTCCTAAATATTTATGGAAGCAATGAAAAGGCATGCACCAAAATGCCAAAAACCTACTAAAGCCAAGCCTGTTTAGAAAATGTGGTTTTCCTGAAGCAGATTTTTTAAAGGGACAAATGTAACCAAACTTTTAAGTTTGGGTCTTTTTACTTCTACTGTCTTTTGCTAAATCTCTACCTCATTTTTAATTTTCTATATGAAAGTTTGTAAAAACAAGGTGCAAACGCCTAGGCAACAGGCACTTGGCCTATACATTTTTTAGAATATTCCTGTTTATCACTTACCCAACAGTAAATATTTCCCAAGCAGTATTCATACCAGTTATCAGTTTTTCAGCAATTCAAAAATGCAAACTAAATTGTACACCTAAATTCTTTCATATATTAAAACAAAGCTGTTAAATCACCCCAAACCTGGCCATGATTTGGGAACAATTTTTAAACACATCAGCAAAGATACTCAAGGCACTATACTCACCAGTATGAATCTTCTCATGTCTCTGTAGCAGGTACTTCTGTATGAAACGCATCTCGCACTGATTGCACTGAAATGGTTTTTCACCTTAAACAATATAATTCCACATCTGTAAGTTAAAAGCTACAAACATTCATTTCTAAATACTCTGTTGAGAAATAAAACAGTAGACTACTGGAAGCCAGTATCCAAGTGACCCCAAAATATTTTAATATAAAAAGTCTACCTAAATTATCTGGGATAAAATAGTGCTCCTGAGACACTATACAATATACATTTAAACCCTTCATCGGCCAAGTAAAAATCCAGAGCCTATTTTATAAACAAAGCAAAATCAGAAAGTAGGTTGCTTGTAAATATATAGCATCTCTGTATAAGAGCAACACTATATATATCAAATTAACAATAAGGGCACTAATTCTCTCTGGTATTTTTTGACACCTTGGTGCATGAAATACCTAAGCTTAGATGCCAGATGTCCTGCACTTTGGAATCTAGAGTATACATTACTTTATATTCATTATTCAGTCAATTGTTTCAGATTGATAATAAAAGAAACAATTTAAATTCAAGCAGTACCTGTATGAATGAAGACATGTCTTTGTAAATGGTAGTTGGTTCTAAAGGCAGCATTACAATGCTCACAAATATGAGATTTGGTAGTTTTCAGACCAAGTGATCCATCCTCATTTATTGTAAGGATCTATTTTTAAAACGGCAAAATTCAGTCTCACATTAATTTCTGAATAATTATATTCAATGTAAATTCAAATTCAATAGGGGGAAATTAAGCACTTTAGTATCAAACCACAATGCAAAATATCTAGGGAGTTTATAAACAAGGATGACTGCAATTATTTCCTTTGGTGACATAACAAAACATTATCTTTTTAGTGTTTGTTATATATATGAACATGTAAATAATCAGATGAAATAGAAAAGCTAGAAACTTGTTAATCTTATTGCTGCTGTAACATTTTTTTCTCCTAATAGTGGCATCATACAGCAACTTTAAATGACCTTTTTGGTAGACCTAAGAAAAAACAAGCAGCAAAATAAACTACAAAATAGAGGAACTCTTTTTTCTTTGCTTAGAACTTGAAAAATACCCACCAACTCCAAAGTTGTTTTTGTTTTATTTTGTTTTTGATATAGCCATAGTATACATACATAACATGGTATGTAACTTGGTAATTTTACTTGCAGATTTTTAGTGAAATTGTAAGATTTCTCTCAGTGAAACACCAAGCTAAGATAGCCAGGTTTTTTAGTCTTAATTACATGTTCATGAATAAGCAGTATGTTGGTTCACCTTGCTCAACTTCTCCTGCCTCCTTCTCTGGCCAGCAGAAGCAGCTAGACAAACCACCTCAGTCCATGTTATCTTTAACCTTATGTGAGAACCATGAATTTTGTCTTTCCCTATTACTAACAAAGCAGTATCATAGGATATCACTTTCACAAAAAGCTACTCTTTTAAAAACACAAATCTAAAGGCTGGGGACTCTTAATCTCCAACCACACACATGAAATACAGTGGAATGCATATTAACTGTCATGCTCTAATTAGATTAAATTATAATCTTCAAAGCCAATGTAAAAAAAGACCTCTTCAAGTAGCACTCAGATGCCACTTTTTGCAGTCAATTTTGAAACCTAATTTATACAATACTAACAAAGTTTGAAGGGCAATACATCAAATGAAAAAGGAGAAAACGGTTCTTTCAGTATTTTCAGATTATGAATGAAACAGCCATATGAAATGTTTAACTAGTGCTTCATCCATTTAATGAAAACTTTAGAAACTGAATTAAACAGGAGAAATATTTTCAACAATTATTTTCAGTAATTATTTTGAACAGAGACAACATTTGACATTCTCAAGCTTAAACCTCACAGTATGAAACTTGCCACTTAGGACATACTGCTGAGTGGAAATTAATGAGGACAAATAATTGGAGTTCATATTTGCAAATGACCACAGTGTAACAGTGAGTTTGAATTAAAAAATATGTGTTTCATTCTCAAGGTCTCATACGTTTTTGCCTCAGTTAATGAAAGGAAACTCAAAATGCAAAACCTTAAATAATAAGTTTCAGATCTACACAATTTCTTTCAAATTACTACATCTATGAATAGCACCTTTTCACTGTAAGGCAATTACTTCATTTCAAAAATACTCAATGATTAATTTCAGCACTAATGCACTGTATGAATAAAAATAAAATTCATAAAATACAGTGTTATTTAATTCATCTTAATACTAAGTTCCTATTAAAGCTGTGTTATTCATCTAAATATTCATTGGTAAATGATCTCTAGTACTGCATAGTTATAGAAAAAATATTTAGAGAAGGAGTCGCCTGAGGAGGCAGATGTGACAGTACGCCAAAGACATGTGCTGTGAAAAGAAGGTTAAAGAAACATGCTATGAATATCTTTTTGCTTTGCTTTGGAGCTACTATTAGGTGAATCTACTATTGTCAGATATTATTTCCAGTGGAATGGATGGATTCCATGCACCATGCACCTTAATTACCAGGTCTTTAATTAATTGTCTTACCTTTGCTGGAGAACGCTGCTTTCTTTTCTTCTTTTTTTGCATATCTATACCTTCTCGCATTAGCTTTTTGTCCCGTTTCTGCTGCTCAGCCACATCAGTAAATGTAATTTCTTGTTTCACACTGATCTGCTAAAATAGCAATTGCAGCATATTAATTATATTTTTAAGCTATTTAAAGAAATAATGGCAATTCACTTGGCAGGACTCTGTACCTTTTTATTATGTTGGGCTCAAGGGGAGAACAACAACTTTGTTTACTGAATGTTCTACTGATGATGCCCTCCTGTTATACCTTCAAATGCAGTTACTATTTATTACTTGAATTATGTGCCATATATACAAATGAAACCTTGATTTACTGGAACAGCTAGAGAGAGGCTGTGTCCATTACTGCCAACTGTGTTAAATCAGAGAGGATATCATCTGTGGTGATGTTGTTACATAAATTATGCAAATTTCTGTAATGATAAGATGACATAAATACAGTGGAAATTTTGTCCATTGCATATGAAGTCCATTTCATCGAGGTCTGTTAAACTGACACTTTACTGAAAACATGTTTACTTAAACATTTAAAACAGTTATATCAACAGACAAAAGATTTTTAATTTCTAATTCATGACAATACAAAAAATAAATTCTCCCTCAAATCAAACTCCACTTCTGATGCTTACATGGACATGATTACACAGACACATCCATCTTGCTTTCTTGGCAACAATATTGAGGTCATTACCACTGACCTCTTCCTATATGTTTTTTTACTTCCCAGTCTTACAAAACCTTGGGACTCCTTGATGGTCTCCTATCCCAGTATTAACCAGATCCTTGTTTAGCTTTTCAAGTTCAGCTTAGGTCAACTAGGCCTGACATCTGCTGTCTTAGTCACAATATACAGGAATGCCAATTCTGCAGTGGGAACTTGAGTCTAGAAATTGGTGTATTGTTCAAAAAGGCAGTAATTAAATTGGCACCTAGGTCATAGTATTTTTAACCTAAAATTTTGATTGCTACTGGAGCAGAGCTGCTAGATAAATTCCAAAAGAATGTTAAGTTCTAGAATTTCCCTGACTGAAATCAGTGTTATTTTTCCTATAGAACAGCAACTACTTGTAATTCTCTAATACTTTCTTGAACAGTGAAATGTAATACTTACATTCAAAGCAGGCACCACAGTCAAAACAGAAGGTTGGGAAATGTTTAACAGTCTAGGTTTTCTGAGGTTGTGAATTACACATTTTTTTTCCTAACTCCAAGTTAATTTCTGTGCAACTCCATAACTTTTTGGACAAAAATGCCACAGGGAAGTTAAGTCACAAATGTGCTCAGTTTGGCGTTAAGATTTAGGCACATGGCTTTGTTCCATATAACTGTTTATAACAAAATTCTCATGTCTCATGTCCTATGTCTCATTTCCCTCCCCAAGATTTTTAACAGAAAATTTTAAGATCGCAATGAAATTTTAAGATCACGGTGAAAAATTTGACAACATACATAATGGATGAAAACATACAGGTAGACCTCACTTAGCAACTGCCTCAGGCAGTGACCGTTTGAAGTTACAACGGTGATGAAAAAGTAACTTTATGACCAATGCCCACATTTACAACTTTTGCAATGTCTCTCTCTCAGTCATGTGTTCACCATTACAGTCAGTTAGTAGATGCTGTCCTGTGCCTTATCCATTTTTTCTCTCCCCACCCTGCCAGCAGAATGGAGATTGCCTAAACAAGCTATCTCTTCCTAAGCTGTTTTTCTCCACAGTGTAGTGCCTCCCTAAAAAGTGCTAAGGGCAAGTTAACAAGCTCACCTCTGTGATCTTAATTATTTTATTTATTATTTCATTTATTTATTTTTCAAATTTATATATGCTGCTCATCTCACTATACAAGTGACTCTAGGTTCAGTCCAGGCTTACAGCTACTACCTGTAACTGACAAAACTTTAATCAGTTTCACACCTTTGGCTTTTATTTGCCTCCTAAATGGCTGGGAGCTGGGAGCATGCTAGGCAAACAGCTGGCACCAGCACATTGCTTACAATGTGTATTCCCCATTGTGTGCCTGCTTTCTCTCTTGTAATCCCTTCCTCTCCAATGAATGTAAATACAAACATTAATTCCCTTCTTGCT